CTCGATCCCAGGACCCTGGAATCATGACCTGCGCCGAAGGCAGCCGCTTAACGACTGAGCCACCCAGGCGCCCGCATTCCTATTAAGTTTAATTCAAAGGAGTATTTTCCTTTTTGTAAGTTTATTTTTGAAATTAGAACAAAGATTTCATTTAGACTTAGCTTTGAAGAAAACATATTTTCACTGGCATATTCACTAACTGGTAAGAATGAAAACTTTCCCTGATTTATGTGCAGGACACAAATCATTTTACACAAGTTAGGAGATTCTGTAAATAATTTTAGCTTAAAAGATGCCTCTATTGTTTTCAGAGAGTGAAATGATTGTCATCTCTTTTATATGTCCTATGCTCTGTGTTAAAATCTGAAAGAACTGATTTTGAGTGGTTCACCTTTTTATCATTTGATAGCGTTATGAAGATTTGATTTTAACATGATTTTTCTTACCTCAAAGCAGGAGCAAGAGACAAGTTACACCATTCTGAGGGCAAGAGGCACAAATGTTACCATCAGTAGCCTCAAGCCTGACACCACTTATGTGTTCCAAATCCGAGCCCGAACTGCAGCTGGATACGGGACCAACAGTCGCAAGTTTGAGTTTGAGACTAGCCCGGACTGTATGTATTATTTCAGTGTAAGGTATAGGGGGAGGGTTTTTGCAAAGGTGTCTGATAATTCATTCTCATTCTATCTAAATTTTAACCAAGTTAAAATTTAGATAATATTTAGATATTGAGATACATTGAAAGTAAATTGCTTGAAATATTTAACAGATTTGTATTTGTGTGGGTGTGCATCTGTGTGTGTGTGTGTTTTTTTTTTTTTTTTCTCTCTTACACATCAAACATATTCTAATGCCTGGAATGTTACTGGTCCTCTACTGGCCATAAATTGCTTTGAGGAACATTATGTAATATGATAACATACCCCCAGTACCTGTTAACCCAGATGTTCTTAGTTCATTGCATGATTCAGTGAACTACAAAAAAGAAACTTGCTGATCCGTGAGGATTTTAATATTGTTTTAATCCTTAACACGTTCAATCTTGTGTCACTTGAAGAATAAGGATTTTCTAAAACCTGGTTTATCACCTCATTCACATTCACAAGCAGTTTGGATAGTCTTGTGCGTCTGACACCAAATTTGGCATAAATACATCTAAAATTGGCAAACATTTTCCCAATGGCATTTCTCTTTTCTTCAAATGCATTTGCTTCATACTAGAAAAACCCTCTGCTGAAAGATAATTTTCAAAAAGGTAATATCATGGCTGTGGTACTAATACAGAGTGAATACACATTCAAGTTCAAGTTAAGGGTTTTTAGTTAATTAATGAGGAGAGTATTATATATTTATCTATATTTTATTTATGTTCATTATATCCTACAAAAGATTAAACTGGTTTACTTATTTATTTTTTAGATTAAACATGTTTAAAGGAAAATTCAAATAACAGATACGTATATACATATAAATACATATTTGTGCATGTATGTATATAGGCAATCAGGAATACTTAAAAAAATTTATTAATTTCTCCCAAACCGATTAATATCCGATAGGACAATAAATGTAATGATTAAAGTCATTTTTTCTACTACACATAAACCATTTATGTCTCTAGTGAATGTTTTATTTTATTGTAATGGGAAAAAATGTATACATCACTCAGTTCCCTGCAACTTAAATTCAGTTGTAAAAGAGCCTAGAAAGACAAAGATGAACACCCTTTAGAAACAGATTATCCAGGGAGGGTCTGACAATGGTCAGCTCTGTCCTGAAAGGAAACCCAGTAATCTCTTTTGACTGTCCCAATTTGCCATTTCTCCTGGCATGTATATTTCCTATCTAAATATTTTGTTCATGACATTAAATATCGTTGGCTTTGATACGGTAATATTTTTATTATGCCCACAATCCATACCTAATAGAAACATTAAGGATTAACACAAATAATAAAAACTGTTCAAGTTAATATAATAGGTACTCCATCAAGTAGTTATTTTATGGCACACTTTTGGTCAGGTGATTAGAAATGCTGTTTACAATAACAAGCAGCACCTTCTGCAAGGTATTGAAAATCTAGTGTTCTTAGAAATTATCAGTTCACAGCTGGAACATGACAATTCTAACTCAAAGGGGAGCTGCCATCCTCAAAAGTGCAAATCTATACTTCAAGACCTCTCCTAATCCTCCCGTGATGGATGTACATGTTTACCCCACCGCGGGGTCATGGAAGTGCCTGCTCGGATCTCCCTGCTGCCTCCAGTGGGCAGACTGCAGTGGGCAGACAGCCTTGGCTGCTGCCCCTTCAGGACCCACCGCAGCCTTCATGCATGGGCCACGCTCCCCTCGATGACTAACCACCGCAAGGGGACTGGTGTCAGGCCTTTTCTGCCTAATGCAGGATTCCTCTATGGACAATCTTCACTCCGGGACTAGACTCCAAGGAGAAATCGTTCTCTGAGAACATTAGAATCGAAATGTTACAAAATACCATGAAAGTAGGGGCGCCTGGGTGGCTCAGTCGTTAAGCGTCTGCCTTCAGCTCAGGTCATGATCCCAGGGTCCTGGGATCGAGCCCCGCATCGCCTCCCTGCTCCGTGGGGAAGGCTGCTTCTCCCTCTCCCACTCCCCCTGCTTGCATTCCCTCTCTCACTGTCTCTCTCTCTGTCAAATAAATAAATAACATCTTTTAAAAAAAAAAAAAAGAATTCCCACTTTGTGAAGGAGTTGGAC